ATGTGAAAGGTGGGTACACCTCTTAGATGAGATTGCCCCCTGAATAAATTTTTGAAGGTGGTTATGGGTTTTGTCATCACTGACACAGATATACATGTTTGCTGCAAGATTAACTAGTGTTAGTCATGAGAGTGCTGGTTTGTCTTCCTGTTTTCTCTTAATTTTTCTTAGGTTTCCTTCACAGAGAGATGGAAGTGTTTGTCCTCACCCTGCTTTTTTTATGTGGTAGCTAGAAGGCATTATTCATCCAGTGAAATAAAAGTATTTCTGGGCAAGATTTATTTCCTTGAGGAATATATTTTTTGACTAGTATTTAAATGTGCTAAGTGCCTTCATAATGGATCATGCTGTTTAGCACTGCAACTCCTCTCCCATTTTTCTCCCAAAGAGATAGAAGTTGTCTATCTCTTTAGGAAAAAAAAGGAGAATTTTACCTATGTCAAAAGATCAAGAGACTTCCTAGTTGCTTGTCTACTTCTTGTAAAAGGAACTTGCATTATATGGTGATAGATGATTTTCAGGCTCAGTTCAAGCATTTAAACCAAATTGCTGTAGGGCTTGCTGTCAATCATCTTTTCCATCTGCTGGAGATGATCAGTAAAACATCACTAAACCCAGTTTTCATGAAGGCTTCTACAAGAGCACGTACTGCATAGGCATCTGTCTGGGGAATCTAGTGGTGACTTTTATAAAATTAATCAACTAAATTTGTTGTCCAATGTTGATAAAGAAGCAAGTGAAATATGCTGTTTTCCCTGCTATTGAGAAGCTTTTCCTGAACCTTCCTGTTTATGAGATGCTAACTTGCAGGGTGATTTTTATCTTTTATTAGCTGTCTTTCTGTTTTTCAGCCATGATTATCATCTAGTGTAATGATTTCTTTCATCATTGATGCTCATATCTTTGTGTTTTAGTGGGTATCCATCTTATTTCTTTCAATATTTGATCAGTTACAGTAATTGAGAATTCCCTGCTGAGAGATGGATTGTTTTGCTCCTTTGGTCACCCTTTGCCTCTTCCTGGGAGAGTTCATATTTTGTGTGGGTGTGGAGTGGGAGGTGTTTGAGCAAAGAAAACTGCATATATTATTAAAAAAAAATCTTGGAAGCCTTTTATATATTGATATAAATAGATTCCATCCTCTCTTGTAAGAACTTCAACTAGGATATTTAATATCAGATTTACCATCTCAATTTTATTTGTTTTATGACAATCCAGTTCTACCATTTGTCACTTGCATCTGATGACTTTTCAGCCTATAGTAGAAATTCTTGGTTAGTTTTTAAGTGCATGAATTCAGATTTTGTGCTGTTGATTTAATCTTGTTTCTTTTACTCTTTTTTTACTCAGTCACAGAATAAAGTAGCATAAAAGATGATACATTATCACATTCCTTTTCTTCCTTGGAAATGCTGCCTTTATTTATTCAGATAATTTCATTCACACTCATGATGTTGATACTGAGATGGTTTTTATTAATAAACACAATACTTGTTCTTTGGTAACTCTTCAGATAGTTACTATATAAAGCTACTATACATTGAAATGTGTACCATTGTCAGCTACCCCTTTAGGGTATTTTTTTCCTCACCTTGAATGTATTCCAGTTGTCATCTTTTCCATCTGATGAAGTACTTAAAACTATTATAGGGTTGAAATTTAAACACAGATCTTCTGCTTGAGTAGAAAATAAATTATCAGAAGTCAGGATGTTTTTTTCCACACATTTTTCTTTATGTGCATTGTTTCAAAATTGTGGTTTTTTTGTATGTTTTGGATTCACAAATGTCCAAATGTCTCCTTTGTGTCCCTTTTTTGAATGTATGTGATGTATTTGCTAATTATCTGATACCACCCCTGACTTTTGCTTGTATATGATTTGTGCTAGTTTTTACTTTCTTAAGCATGAGGCATTTTTTATCTGTGTATTCATTAATTCCATAGTCAGTATCATAACTGTTATTAAAACCTGAGGTAAAACATTACAGATTTTTTTTTTCTTTATGATATCCCACTTTTACTTGCTTAATCTTTTATACTCTCTTGTGCTCCTTCTCTGGCTAGACAACCTTTACTCTCTACTTGGATTTTCTATGAAAAGTCTACCTCAGCATGACTACTGACATTTTACATTTCCAAGGCTTCTATACCAATACTGTTGCCAACTTAACTTTTTTCCTGGCATCAGAGACTCTCACATCATGACCTTCCCCTACCCCTGCTATAAGAGACATTCACTTATGAGGGAAATTCACAGTGTGCATCATAAAGAACTTATGATTGGTCAGATGGTTGAAGAAATTACTAGCAATTCTGCATATAGCAGATATCCATCTGGGAATCCTAGAAACTGTTCCATGTTGTTTGGGCTATCCAAAAGCATAATTTTAAACTTTAAGCTGTGGCATCAGCGGAGGATTGTGATAAACAAAAGATGCTTGTACAATTCTCTTGTTAATACTTTTAATAATAATCATCATAGTCTGTTTAGATGAAAGCCATTGTACAGGACAGTCAAAGTTGCACAGATATTGATAATTCACTATGAAGTCCTTCTCAATGCCTTTCTGTCTAAGCTGCCTTGTGTGCTGCTACAAGAAGGGAATGTATTGTAACTGAGACACAGGTTTTTATTAGCATTTTATCTCAAGTTGGGTATGAGGGAACTTAAATTTTAGAGGAACATCAGGTTAAAGTGCTATTCAAATGCAATGCTGTGTTTATTTACTTATAAATTATAGTAGTTGCAGATCCTTTTTATGTTCAGGTTGCTATCTTGCAATAGAAGATGTTGTCAAGTACACTGGAATTTTTCAATTACTAGGACAGTATATTAATTTCTTCCTTCTAACTTCAGACTTAAATCAACCAAGTCTTCAAACTGATTTACTTCTGCAGAAGACCTAAGAAAATAATATTGGTATTAAGCTTCATTTATCTGTTCTGTTTGTTTAAAGTTTGTACAGCAATTTGCTGCAGAAAAATTGTAGACAATGATTTACTGCATCCCTGATGTTGTCCGCATGGTTCTAGGTAGGGCTGAAATGCACATTTGTCAAAGGTGATGCATGGACATAACAATCATGCCACATAAAGGTGCATCACTTACCTGTTAGATGGATGTGGCATGTGTAGGAGGTAAGTATTGACAAAATTCTAGTCAAACATCAAAGTTGTTAGGGTAGGTGGTAGATTCAGTCGTGATGCAAATAGCTTCATGATGTCACCCTTATTTTCACATTGTTGGCTTCCACCTGTCTGCTGTAATGTAAACTTCAGTTTCTGAAATGCCTCATTTCTTTTTGTCTCAGCCTTACATTGATACTTGTCTTTGAAACACTTGTCTCAAACTTACTGTCTTCTGATTTCCAGAGCTGTGTATTTGGTTCTGCCCAATATTTCTTTCCAATCACATCTTTCCAGTGCTTTTAGAATGACTTCCCTTATCTCCACTTTTTATGTACCTAACAATTACATGTCTTCAGTCCCTGTGGTCACCCTCTCTCCTGCAGTAGCATGTTTCTAGATGAGATGCTTTTTAACATAAATCCGACCAACAATTTGTGTTTGTGGCTCACGCTCATCCCTTTTACCTTACATTGTAATTTTGACCTCCTGTAGTTGGTGTGGAGCACCACTGCAAGTCCAGCATAGCTAGAATAGAGCTCTCATTCTTGATGTGGTGTGTTGAACTCCTAGGGCCAACATTTCCTTGGTCTCTCTCGTGTTGCTGGAGCATTGGCTGCTGTGGCATGCACCCTTGACAGCCAGAGTGTATCAAAGAACAAGTCTTACAAGGAGCTGCTGAGGGAATTGGGGTTGTTTGGCATGAAGAAAAGGAGGCTCAGGGTTAGGGAAAGAAAGAAAAATAAGAAAGCACTTCTTACATGGTAAAAAAAAAAAGCATCTAAATTATTTCATTTGCTGGAAAACTGGAATACATTTAAGCAGCTATGATATTCCTTAGATTTCTTGTCTTGACAGATATCTGTATAGTCAAAAGATAATACAATTTAAAATAAGCATCTTGAGTCTTTTCCTGTAGGGTGAAAAAATGGAAGACTCATTTCTCCCAAATGTACCTTGGAACATACTCAATTTACAATTTTGCCATCATAAATTGATTCTTGGCAATGTATATACTAGTGTTGCAGATGTAAGCAATTTCCAGATAAGACAGAAATGATCAATCATTCTGGTGACTGCAGCGTAGAGGAGGGGGGGAGGAAGTGATTCAATGGAAATTATGTTTTTGGGTGTACCGCTTCACAGCTCTTCCTGAACCTGGTTTAATCTGACAGAAGGATGACTTCAGCAGCAGTGCCTGCTTTAATATGCTGTTTAATTAGTGATGGAACCAAGTTTTCTTTCTGACAAGCAATAAATAAATATGGGATGATTTCTAGATTACAGAATAGTAGTTGAAACAAACAGAAGGAAATCCATTTTGGTAAACTTTTCTTTGGAAACAATCTGTTTTCTGAGAACAACAGTCTATGAACTTTAGGGCAAGTGAGATAAGGATCCAAAGCAAAAGAAAATTATTGATAATAAAATATTTATGTGGTGATCAAGAACTGTGTTGTCCAGACAAGAACTGGACCAGCTGCACAAGTTTCATTCTGACATCCTCAAATCCTGATGTTCACCTTTGATAAGAAAACTATTATACTTGTATGTAATAACTTTTTTTAAGAAAGATACTGATGGCAAGCAGGATGAATAGGTGGGATGGGCAGCTCTGTGCTGAGTGCAGGACAGAGAAAAAAGTAGGGAGTGATGGGCAGCTATACTGTTAGAAGAACAGCCCATGCCACAGAGGCTGTGTACATCCTGATTTTGATCTTTGGAAGATAATGGGCTGAATCAGTGGTGTCTTTCCTTCTAGGGCCTGTTTTAGGACTACTTGTTTGCTATTTGACCTGTTTGGTGGTTTTGTTGCTGTGTTTGCTTTTCTTAACAAGCACAGAAGTAACAAGAGCTTCTCTGTTTCTCTGCAGCTTTTACGAGAGTTGAAGCACCCAAATGTGATTGCATTGCAGAAGGTTTTCCTTTCTCACAGTGACAGAAAGGTTTGGCTGCTGTTTGATTATGCTGAGCATGACTTGTGGGTAAGTACAGATTTCCCTGAGTATTTGAGATTGTGCAATAAGATTTTATTCAAACTGATATATATATGTGTGATGTACCTTTATACAGGCAGAGATGCATTAATGTGTTATTCTGTAATTAAGGGTCTAACTGATAATCCTGTTACTTTTACACTTTAAAGCTTGCCAAAGACTACATAGAAATTTTGAGTCAGATTGGGTTTTGAAGTGAAAAGGATTTTTCTGCAAGCTTTAATTAGAGTTAAAGAAAGCATTCCTAAATTGAGAGCTTCTAAAACTGTGTTTGGAAATGTATTTAATACTTTTTTTCTGACATTTTGCACATAGACACACAAGAAAAAAAGGAGAGGGACTGCTTTGATGAGTCCTCTTACTGAGAGTGACTGCAAGCGACTAGCATTCAATCATCTATATTTTAAACAGAGAATTTTTGACAGTATGAGTGGAAATAAAATAACAAGTAAGCTAGTTGGGCCTACTGATGGACACTTATTACATGGAAGAGGAGTAGTGACTTAGATGTCTGTTTTTAAGTTTCTAGCAAAATATGATTTGATTTAGTTTAGTCTGTTGTAGAGGTGGACATCAGTAACATTGTGACCTTGAAAATATTCAAGCTCCACATCTGTTGATAAGATGTAAATTACTTGAACCTGGATTTGTGTTTAAACCTGAAAGATATCAAACACGAAGTGTAATCAGTATGTTTATGATTCCTTTGAAAATACTGGCAGGGAGGGGAAGTGGAAGTATAAATTCCTTTTATTTTTGTATTACTTTTGAAGTATTACTTTTGAAGGCTTCAGTAATGCAGATGTTGCCATTACAAATGTTAGTGACAAATTGCTCAATTTCTTCATCCTTGGCTCTTGAGCTTGTAAATAACCCAAGATTTTAATTGGTTAGCAAGTAAACTTAGACAATTCAAAAAGACACTTCTGTTTCAGAACATGTAAAATCATGGTAATTTGTTCCCCTTCAAAAGCTTGAAAGATGTTTGATTTATTTCTCTTATGGGCTAGCAGGTTTGTATTTTGCGAGTTTTCTTCATCACAGTTAAGTGGACATTGAGAGTTTGTGTATTTCACATAACGGGTAGTGATGATGAAGAGAAGTGCATCAGCTAAATTTCTGTATGACAGACTTTATTTGTGCATTAAATGAGTTTACTCATTTTATGGAACAGTCATAACAAACAAATTTAATGCTACATTTATTGCCATGTGTTTTAAACCTTTTTTCCTAACCTTTTCCATTCGTGTATGGTTTTTACACTACACAGTGATTTTTCACATGATTTAACAGCTTCAGAAGAAGAATCACTGCAGTTTGATGTTCTTGCTACTCCTCCCATATGGCTGAGTATTATAATCTCAGTGAAGTTAATGATTTTCTATTATTTAAGACTAAAATGTTTGTTACAATGAGGTTCTTGATATGAACTGGTCTCCCACTTCCTAACTCTCTTTTGTTTTTATTTTTTTCTATGGGACATGCTACACAAGTCATTTCTCCTTTCCTGTATAATTGCCCATGTTTCCTCGCTTCTTAAGCCTTTGCCAGGAATTTTTCCTCCCTTGCATAAAGTTGGCCGTGTTCAAGGCACTCTTGGTTCTGGCTTAACCTTGGTCCTCATTTCCTTTACTGTCAGCACTTCCCAAGCATCGCTCTTAATTCCCCTTTTGTCTGTTTTGCTCACTCCCAACTTTGTGTCTTTTTCCACGCTGCCTCCTACACATGGAACAGCCTCCCAATTAACGTACGTAAAGATCCTTCACTATCGTCCTTCAAAAAACTCCTGAAAATCCACTTATTTTGTAACGCATTTCAGTAATACCAACCACTTGTCATCCTGTCTGTGTTGTGTTGTGTTTTGCATTTCCTGTGCTTTACAGCTTGTGCCCTTTTAACTTTTTGGGGTAGAAATTTTAGTAGGGGTTTAGCACTTTTTTTTTATTGCTTAGCACCATGTGCTTTGCCAGCACTACATAAAGACAAAATGAGTCTGTTTATTATGGATATATCAGTTTTTCAAGATTTAAGTTTTAGAATTAAATGTATACTGTCACTAGAGACATGTAGATTTCCAGAGACTAATGTTTTTAAATCTAAGTAGCTTAGAGTTACTTACCAAAATCAGTAAGTATGGAAATTGTATTTCTATTCAAATCTGCACAGCTTTTAGTAACTCCTGTTGGCTTCAGTGAGAAGAATAAAAGCTCATCACATTCAATCATGAGATTAATTAAAATCATTATATTTTTCAGCTTCTGTACTGGAAACATTGGCAGGAGATGAATAAACTATATTAGATGCTATGCTATCCTGTTAATTTTCTAATGCTGAAAAAATTGTCCTGTTCTAAAAGTTTGGTGCTAATTAAACTTATTAAAAAGTTCTTCTATGGTGAGCAAAAACTTTTTTTTTTTACTTCTCATTTAATTCCCAAGAATTAAAGAAGAAACTGCTCAGATCTGAATTTTTATGTTTAGATAGCACATACTTAATAATGTTCTGCAGCTTTGGCCGATACCATTACCAAGGAATGTAGAAGCTTTGCTAATTTGAACAGCTTTAGGCGAGTATTGGTGAACACCCATTCTGCTGTCCTTGACAGCCAAGATAGTCATCATTTTTAATAACTAAGCCTATCAAAGATACTTTCTTTCCTTATCTCTCAAGATACATTGTACAAAACAGTGCAAAACGAAGAGATTACCATGGAGAAAATCTAAAAATATAGGAATTCTTTTGACAAATTGATTTATTACTAGTTTCCTTTGATTACCAGAATTCTTAGTATAATACAAGATGTTACGATTTTTCTTGGCTCTGTCTCTGCCAAAGAGAACTGGTAAAGTTCTCAGGCTGTAGGATGTTAACTTTTTATTTTTAAAGGTCAAAAATTTGTTTCAAATGCCAGAGTTCCTGCTGTCTTATCAGCAAAAGAATAACTTCTTTTTTTGTTGAACTTTCATGGATGCTCTTTATAACCCTAGTCTTATACTTCTAGACAGTATACTGCTGTCCAGAACTTCCTGCATAAAGCTAGTGCATTTAAAGACATCGTTCAAATATATATCATATGCTTTAAATGCATGATGATTACTAAATTAGACTTTAAAAAAAATTTAATACAAATGAGATCTGTCCCAGAGGTGAATTTTTTGTCAATCTAGTTGCTTTTAACCACTGTAGAGGTTACAATATTTAGAACTTTTCTTTTGCTCCTTTTTACAGTAGATTTCTAATTTTGGAAGTATTTTCTAAAGCTTATGTTCTTAGTACCATAGATAAATACATCTGATGACTTGAATTTCATGGTCTCTATATTTTAAGCAGGATTTTTTATTCTAACCAACATTTTTATTATAACTTTTTAACAACTTTTTGTATTGACAGGTTATCTATATACCTTCACTAGCTATAGTATAGAGTTGATTCCCAGACTCATTTAGTATGTCAGTATAATGCCAAATTTTTAAGATCCCCTTTCCTGGAAATATATGTTGTAACTTAAATAAGAAGCTTCTGGATGGGTTTATCTCATTCTGAAAAAGGGTGACATTTTCATCACACTAAAAATGTATTAAATGTGTTTTATAGCAATAAAACCCACTGCTGTATAAGTAAGTACATAACGAATTAACTATGATTTGGTAATACTGAATGTGATGATACATTCACTATCCCAGACCAGTTAAATCATGATCTGTGAATTTTTTCAATTAGGTTGATTGTTTCTCTTTTATTATTGTAGTCTAGTGATCTCCTACAACTAAATCCTTAGCAACAAATACTACTGAGAAATGTGGAGTAAAATTAATCTTGGAATTATTGTTGATAATAATAAATATATATGGGCAGACTGACTTTGTTTTATACTAATTACTTTTATATGTTCTGCTTTTGAAAAATATAGGGTAGAGATTATTAGCACAGTCGTGAGTACCTAAAAGTAATCATCAAATAAGGGAAAGGAGAAGCTATTCTTCCTACATGTGAATTTCATAGCACTACTTGATGCTCTCAGTCTACAAATAAATATACTTAATTTCATCTAACAACGTTTTGAATAATCTTTTATGATAAATGAAATTGGGAAAATGTTGCATACTGATGTGTAAATAAACCTGTTCATTTGTTTAATCACATGAATATTGTCTAACAGCTGAGTTTTAATATATTCCTTAAATATGGTATGATCAATTATGATTCTTTCTTCAACAGGCTTCAGTTTAGTTCTTAATCATAAATATAATTGAGATGATAGTTGATGACAAATATCTTTATATACATAAAAATACTTTTCTCAGTGTAACAGTGATGGGGTTTTTTTTTAATATTTTGATTTCTCTAAGTCACGTCTACACTTTTGGTGTAATTCAGGTGATTCTGCCAGGTGGTTTTTCACACAGTCCTCTGTCTTGTATACGTATGTACCAATATAGTCTGGAAGAAGAATATAAGGTTTGTTGAGACACAAGGGAATGGGCTGGCATAGGTCTTTATGTCATGATTGATTCATTCCAAGTGCAATGAATGGGGTTTTTTGACCATCAAAATGATAGCTGAATTTCTTGCAGAGGGCAGTGCCATTCCTTGCTCATAGCTGTTTGTCATATTTTCAAAACATACACTTGCTTTTTCTGCCAGACTTGTATGAATTTGAAGGTAGTTTATATGGACTAATTTTCTGCACCGCAAAGCATGAGAAGTGGAGGAAACAATAGGTAGGAGCAGGCCTCAAAACAAAGACAAGGCTCAAAAGTATAAATGTGTGAAAAACTAAAGTGAACAGAGTGGTGTATTCCACTTTTTTTGTGTACTGAAAGGGTATCTGAATTCTGCTGATTTTTATTAACACTGTATAGAGTTATTTTGCAATATTTCTGCTGATTTTTATTAACACTGTATAGAGTTATTTTGCAATATTTAAGGCTGAAAGATACTAAAAGACTTAGAAAGAGGCAGGCAAAACCTAGGAAAATTATACAGGA